CTTTCTTTCTTTCTTTCTTTCTTTCTTTCTTTCTTTCTTTCTTTCTTTCTTCTCTCTCTCTGTCTGATTGGGCTTGTAGGCTACTCCAATTATAAATGTCTTTGAATAGTATACCTTCCAACCTCTGTAAGTTGAGTTAAAAATAATGCAATAACAACGAAGCATATCAATAATTTCCAAAACACATGGAGAACACTAGTCAGCAACAGTATGATTGATAATGAAGATAAACACATATCCAAACCAGTTCATTTGTCCTGCTGAAAAAGAAAAAGGAGTATTGGTCTTTTTTTTTTTTTAACTTAGAAAAATATTGAAGTATTCAGGATAGAGATATGCATTTCAGTTTTGTTTCTCCAAATGGAACCAACTGGATGGATTAGTGTGTGTAGTAGTGTGTTTTCACCCATATCTAATTAGCTATAGGGAAGCCAAAGTTTACATAGAACTTGGCAAATGCTAATACGAATGTTTGTTATTCTTACGTATATTCTATATTCAAACAGATAATTAGAATAAACATACCAGCAATTCAGACAGAGAACTATTGCCATCACTTGTCCTCTAAGATCTTCTGAATTTCAGCAGATTGTTTCTGGGAATTTCTACATATATAGTATATGATATTAATCTCTTATCTCTTTTCAGATCAAATTAATAAATCAAAGGGACCTACTAGGACCTTACATACATAATGTTCTCTGCCACTGATATATATAGCTCCCTTATTAACTTTTCCCCCCTGTAATTCCAAATTGTTTGTCCTGAATCTATTGAATGCCTTGTTTTGCCAAGCAAATTAATTTTAAAGTGGAGCTGAACTTATAACAGAAGTTTAAGACATGATTTGCTCAATTTGGAGGCCCTTTGGAAAGGCAACAGCATGCAGTTTTCTCCCATCTTCTGTACACACGTAGCTCATAACAACCAGTCAACTAAATTTTGCAAGTCTTACTTTGCATATCATGGACTTGGTTTGATCAGAAATGCTTAGCGCTTGCTAATTTTTATCATGTCTTAATTGGCAAGAAACTTGTTTAGAAAATTTCAACAATAAAATAAATGTGAGATGAAACTGAGTGAAATGGCAACAAACCTGGAGGAGGTAGATTAGATGAAAAAGAGCTAGGGAGATAGGGATCTGCAATAATATTCAATATGTCATGCAACCCAATTGAAAGATTCCTTGCGTACATAGTGTCTAGGACCATGTTAGACTAGGTTAAAATGGGATTGGGTCATTTGTGGTTCACTGTGTAAAAGGATCCCAGTCATTGTCTTCATATGTATCAGGCCATGGCACTGGGCCATAACATGTTCCATTTCAATACAGCATATTATGTAGACACAACAATCATGATTTGTTAACTCAAGTTTAGGATTCAGGAAGTAAGGTGGACCCAGCCAGTGTCTCCACATGTGGCTTTTGCATAATAAGCAAACTTCCTTAACATGCAGAAGCAATAAACACTGAAGTATATGGAGATGTGTGTACATGAATATACAGAAAGTTACATAGGTACCAATCAGCTGTATTCATTCTAATGTTGATATAACTTGGTTGTTCTATGTTTTCTATAAAACTTTAAGAAAGGAGGATATTTATGTGCTTGAAATCTAACTCTTGCTAAAGCCTTCCTGAAGCAGGGGCAATCATGACTTGGAAGTTGTAATTCATGGCCAATAAAGTCATATATAAGGCCACTAATCCTGCAAGCTTAGCACCCTCAACTTTCCTTTCCCAACCTTGAACTGTCCAGATACAATTATAGTTATAGTTCTTGATACAGTTATTATAGTTAATTTATTTGAGAATGATAGACATTATGTTTCAAGACATCAGTGTGGCCAAGAATTTTGTCTAGACCACAGGTATAATAAAGAAGCCAGACCATTGGATACTATAGCTTTATCACTCAATAGCCACTCTTTATGGTTATTGTGCATAAAGGAAGAGAGTCTTTCAGAAAATATGCAGTGATTATAGTACCCATTAATTCAGGAATGACTGGGAAGTGTGCAGGACTACATGAACAGGCATATAGACCTACCAAAAGGACTGCAGAGTGTCACATAGCCTAGGTTTGCAGGATCCAACAGGATATAAATTATGTTAAATAAATAAATAAAATAACTAAAGTTGCCCACCTTTAGTTTTCCCCTGGCACTAGCTCTTCAGAGTTTTAGAGTGGTTTTCTGCCCATACAGAGAAAACCACTGTGTATGAAAAGTAGGTGCTCCATCACAGAGCCAAGACAGTTCCTTAGCTCTTTATAACGTCCTAAAAGAAACTACTGTATTTTTCTGACTATAAGATGATACTTTTTTCTAAAATCCTTACACTAAAAATTGAAGGGCGTCTTATGCAAGGAAGTAAG